AGAGCGTTCCAGGCCGAAGGGAGAGGAGTGTTAAGATGCTGAGGCAGAGCTGCCTGTCCTGCCCAGCAGCACGAGGAGGCCAGAGTGGCAGGAATGGAGCGAGCAGTTGCTTGTCTCTCCCCAACTCTCAGAGAGCAGGCACCATCTCTGCCTCATTTACCTCTGTACCCCCAGACTAGCACAGTGCCTGACATATAGGAGGTGCTCACTAGCTCTCAGTGAAATGACTGTGGTCCCCGAGGGGCCTGATGTGGGCAGCATGTGTGGACGGTGGGCTTCAGCTGGCCCAGGTTTGCAGTTCCCAAGATGAAGGTGAGATCACCTAAAACCATGGTTCCCCAAACTGCCAAATTAGTGCACCCAGCCCTTCCCTTCCCCCACAGTCAGAAATGGCCAGGGGAAGTCTCGGCAAACCCCAGACCCCTCTCTGCTGCTCCCAGCATGGGGAACGTGGACTTAGAGGCAGTGAGTGTGAGGCTGCTGGGTGTCCTCGGCCTGGGAGTGAGGCTTCTTCACAGGGATGAGCCTTTCCCAACCTCCTCCTCCTGGAGTCCTGTACACTGAGCCTGGTCTCCTGGCAAACAAATCGACCACTCAATGAACAAATACCCCCACCCCCTGAGGCTTAGGCGGGGTTCTGGCCTGGAGGTCAGGAGCTCCAGACATGGAGGGACCAGCTGCAGCCCCGTCTCCACGAACTAGCTCCGCACTGGGGCCAGGCGCCGAGGGTACAGGGGCCAGAGCTGGGGGCTGGTCCTGCAGCCCCGTCCCCATCTCCCCTGACTGGGAAGCCTGTAGGCCACTCTGGGCTTTCCCTGACTCTTGTGCCCAGTCATGGTCTCTATTAAGTACTCCCTGTCCTCTGCTCAAGGTCTCAAGGGAGGCTGTGGGCAAACCAGCCCTTCTGCCCTGCATTAACAAAAGTCATAAAAGCTAGACACTGGGCAATCTCACTGCTTAAACCCCTCCCATGTGCCCAGTCATGGTCTCTATTAAGTACTCCCTGTCCTCTGCTCAAGGTCTCAAGGGAGGCTGTGGGCAAACCAGCCCTTCTGCCGTGCATTAACAAAAGTCATAAAAGCTAGACACTGGGCAATCTCACTGCTTAAACCCCTCCCATCATCTGAACAGAACTGAATAGTTCTCCTGCAGACCCCGAAGCCCTACCCAATCTGGTCCACGCTGGCTTCCTGTCTCTGCCTTGACCACGCCAACCTCATTTTCACTGCAGGGCCTTCGCCTAGAATGCCCTTTCCCCACTCTGCCTACTCATCTTTCAGGATTGTCACTGATGCTTAAATGTCATCTCCTCAGAGAAGCCTTCCCTGACTACTTCTTTCACCCGCGTCCCCCGACCTGCTCAATGCTTACAGCTCTGTTCCTTTCTAGTTGTTTATTTTCCAGGGTCTGCCTTCCTCACCACAGTGCAAAAGGACTCCACTGGATTTACTCACCCTGAAATTTGTGCCAGTGCCTGGAATCAATGCCCACACACAGCTGGCCCCTAGTAAGTGGTCATGAATAGAGAGTAAACCGAGAGCTCCTGTGGCCCAGCCCCAAGCACACAATGCAATCGATGACACACACTGGTGGGCCTGGGCCAGGTGACAGTGAAGTGACAGGGGTGGGGAAGGTGACCTGGAGGAGCTGTGTGGGCCAGGTCCTGGAGGAGAGGTGCAGAGGAGAGGGTCCTGGGGAGGGAGCAAAGGAGCTACTCCCCCAAAGTGGGCACCTTCTGATATATTCTTTTAGGTACCATGTTGGCACAAAGATCTTTAGGATCATGATATAAAATGTCAGAGGATGCCATATAAAATCACACTTCTAGGATGGTGTCTGTCGCAGCCCCTGCGCTGCAGCCCTGCCCTGCGTCTCCAGCTGAGTCTCTGCCCAGACACTCCCCGTCCTGCGCTCTCTTAGCATCTCCCTCCTACCACTCCAGCTTCACCTGGGTTGTGGGAGGGGCAGGAAGTCATAGCAGCAACAGCACTTCTGCCCAGCCCTGCCCAGCATCCCCTCAACTGTCACAGCCACCCTAGGGAGCAGGCGTGCTCCATTCCACAGATAAGAGAGCTGAGGCTGAGTGATGCAGCAGAGGAGTGGTGGGGCCGCAGGTGGGTCTGACACCCCACCCCCACCCTCTGCCCAGCCTTGGCCCTGTGACTAAGGCTGGGGTCCAGACACCCTATCTGCACCTGTCCCAGACTGGGAGCTCGGCATCCCAAGCTCCTCCTGATGGTTCAGTGCCTTCCTGGCCCCCACCTTGGTCTCCAGCTCCTGCAGGTGGCCCTGGGACATCAGGCAGAGCAATCCTCTTGGCTGCAGCCCTCAGGCCAGTGCACTGCACCAAGGTCTGCTTCCCTGGCCTGCCCGACTCAAGGCCCCTTCCTGTCCCGGCCTACTGACCCTGGGTCTGCCTGCTGGCCTGGTTTACTCGTAAATGCACAGACCCTCAGCAAATCTTGAGGGACTTCCCAGTGCCACAGGATCATAGGGGGCCCCCAACTAACCAACCATCCTCATACCTTAGTATGAATCAATACAGTTTATTATCCTGATTGTTTTGTGGTAGCACAATAATCTTGCATTGTTTTATGCGTGTTGAGAGTTAATTAGTTATCTGTAAACATTTCAAAGCCATCTTTTTCTCTGGTCATCCCATTTCAGCCTTTCTTCACTTTTCAATTTGCTCTGGAGCCAAGACAGAGAGAGCACATGCGTGCAAGTGTGATAGAGGGACAACTGCTCATTGCAGCACACTTTTGAAGCAAGCTAAATGCCCACTGACAGTGGCCTGGTTAAACAGGTTATGATGCATCTGCAGTATGGGGTGACTATTCTGCTTAAACGCACAAGTCCAAGGGAATTCTTTATGTACCGATAAAGAACAGTCTCCGCAGTGCACGGACCAGTGGTGCAAAGCAAGGTGCAGGAAGCATGTCCATGACACGGCTGTTTGTGTGACAAAAGGGCACTCCGTCTATGCACATTTGCTTGTATGTGCATGGAGCACAGTTGGAAGAGACAGGTGATGCTGGCCACCTCTGTGGAGGGGACACTGGGAATCCGGGGACAGAGCAGGAGTAGGCTTTTCATGGGGGGAGGGGGGGCACTTTGAACACACTTTTGAATTTTGAACCATGGGATACTTTACCTAGCTAAAAACAAATCAAATTCAAATTTAAAAGCTGAAGGGAACAAGAACACACAGATGGTGTTGTACATTCTGCCCACCTGGGCAGCCTCCCTCAGTGCCACCAAAAGTGAGCATCTGGCAGCAGGTGTGTGGATCCACTAGAGAATGGACCTCACCCGAGGACCTAGTGGCAGCTGGCTGCTTTCTGGGGTACAGCCTTGTAGCCATGGCTGCAGGAAAGCTGAGAGGCTCACCTCCACATGGCTCCCTCCTGATGCCTTTGACAGGCTGCGTGGTGTCTCCCCCAAGTTCCTCTGTTGAAGTCCTAACTCCAGCACCTCTGACTGCGAGCTTGTTTGGAAATAAGGCAGTTGCAGATGTAATTAGTTAAGCTGAGGTCATTCTGGAGTGGGGTGGGCCCTAATCCAACATGATGGGTGTTCTTATAAAAAGGGGACATTTGGACACAGACACACACACAGGCAGAACATCATGCGAACATGAAAGCAAAGACTGTGGTGATGCTCCTACAAGCCAAGGAACGACAAAGGTTGCCAGCAACCACCAGCAGCCAGGAAAGAGGCCTGGGACAGGTGCTCCCTCAGTCCTCAGAAGGAACCAACCCTACCACACCGTGACCTCAGACTTCCACTCCAGAACTGCGAATCAATACATGTCCTTTGTTTAAGCCCCCCAGTCTGTGGTGGCACTTTGTTACACGGTGTTTCAAGGGAAGCTGGCAAAGCTGTGATTCCTGCCTCACCGCCTGATTTAGGCCCCTCGG